TATCTTCAAAGTTCGATCGTGTTTGTGTGTGGGTGTATGGGGTTTGCTGTTAGCCGATAATGACTTTTAGGTTTATCGATCAGTTGGCCGATGAAAAGACAATACACTAAACGTTGTCAAAGCCACAAAGTTCGTTTGATACATTCTTTCTTGGTTAGTCCGGAATTTTTGAATTCCCTTATACATGCCGTGATGTAAATGTGACATGAGTTTGCAGTTATCCCAACTGCACATAGCTCTGAGGTTATCGCAAACGAAATGGGCCCTGAAATGCCGAACGGGCCAGATGTTCGAACCCATATAAAAACATGAATAACACGTGTGACATAGTCTAACAACATTACTAGGTCATCCACGTTTCCGTAGCAACAGCAACTTTTCAGTGATAAATAGCTTAAGTAAACGAAATTTTATTTTGATTATTTCAAGTAGTTGGACTTTTATAGAACAAAGAAAATGGGAGATGAAAATTTGGGAAATATTGTACTGCTGTTTTAACCTTATTGGGTGCCATGGTTTTAGTATCCCGTAAACATGTTCGCCATGTTTGTACCTACATTCACCTGCTTTACCGTTACCCATCCTGCGTTTTCGCGGACGCACACACGCGCATCCATCAGCAGAGTACACATCTTTCCTTCAGCCAATCACAACATACCCCGAATGTTACGCCCTTGACGCTGATTGGTTACATGTCTGGGCTCATTGTCTGAATGGAAAATGCGTGCGAAAACAACATAATTGGTCCACGTTGAATTGCGCATCAGCTTATTCAGTCGATGCTCCCGTACGTGACTACAATTTTCATGTAACAAAGGCTAAGGTGTGAGGAGGATCGCATGAGTTTCATACCATGATACAAAGCCATACGTTGAGGAGAATAACTTAACTGTTGATATCCTGGTCAAGCTTGTTTCTTATGATTGGCTTACACTTAACCCACCAAAACAACGAACTACTTACTCTTAATTCGCAGACGTTCATTCTTCTGTGATTGACTTTATTTGCTGAATTCCAACAATAAACTGCTTTCCACAAAGGTACTAACGTCTATGTGAGACTTAACATTACCAGTCTCAGCGTAACTATGTGTGAGATACCTCAAAGGACTTAGGTAGTCGGAGAGATATACAAGTGAAATAATAACAATGTAAATACATTCGAATAAAAAATAACATGTGCACAGAATTGAAAGGCTTAGGGAGGGGAGCTGTCATCATCAATTGGAATGTCAGACCGATCTATCAAGTGCCCCAAACCGGTCTTAAGTTACCTTAAATCACTACATAAAACGTGTCTCTATGACCTCCAATCTGTATTAAATCATACAAACGGCTCCGCTGTCTGCATACACGACGATACGGATGTGCAAACGTCCAAAATTAATTGTTCAGACTTTTACTGTAGTATTAACGATAGGTTTCGAGTGCCATAAAATCCATTGAACATGCTCGTCCTATCCACACAACTCCCCTCATCCACTTCGAATGACACTGTTACCCTCTACTCTCTGTAAAATATCCCTGGTCTACCGAAAGGCTCAATCATCAGGGTAAAAGTTTATTTTTGTGAACATACAAAGCTGAAGCTTACCAAATCCGGGAAATACTGATTTCGGAGGATAGTACAAATAAGTAGAACAGTATGCAAGTTTACTCCAAATTGACGACGACATGTCAAAAATAAATGTATTCTATTATCCTGATCAGTGTTCGTGTGAGCGGATTGGAATAATTTCAAAGTAAAAGCCCTCTGAATTAAGGATCCGATATTCAGAACTCAGCTGAACCGACATGTTTGGCCCTATGCTAAACTCTACGGTGGGGGAGGGGACTCCAACCCCCTTGCATTCCTTGCATGTGTTTGACTGAATGAACTTCATATTATTTGCGGTTGTGGATAAAAGTGAAGAATGAACGGTAAAAGTCAATACGTCCAATAATTCCGAAACAGATAGATTTGCAATAGGTATTCCGTGCCGGTTACCTCATCCAAAACGGACCCATTGTAGAAGCTATTTGATGAACAACATTATTTAAATCGTCGCAGATTTTTTAAAACAAATTTCCGTCTGACTTTGTAATATATTTTCATGACAGAGTTCCTAGACTGGATATCTCTGCAAGAACATCATGACATCAAATCTGATCTTCATCTTGGCTACCGAGGTATACCCGCGGCCAGTAGTAGCGGTAAAAACAGGCAGAACGCTTCTCCGCGCCAGTTTGGTAAAAGTAGTTCTCTCTGTAGAATCACCGGTGAGATGAAGCCGCCCTCGATTTGATTTTATCACCCTCTCTCTCTCTGCACACACACACACACACACACACACACACACACACACACACGTCCTGTTTCGTCCTACCCACCATACACCCAGAAAAGGTTTTTTCGTACAAAGTAATCTCTACCGCTTACGGTTTTTCTGATTAATGTGGGTTTTTTACCTCATGAACAGCTGCACTGCGGAATATCCTCCTATCGCCGCATTTCTCTATCAGATTGGGAAATATCATTTGGTTTAACTGCCTTCGAAAACGGTGTTTTCTCTGGTTATCCTTCTTTGTACAACAATCAATCACAAGTTTTCTGTGTAGCTTCGTTCACTTTGTTTATCTAATTGTAACTAAGATCTAAATCATCACGATTCGAAATAACTGGAATTCATTATTTCACAAGTAGCTGGTTCAGTGGTATTCGATTACTAAAAACGAATGTATAAGTGGATATTTTTAGGGCTATTTTACGGCCTGTTAATGGGGCTCGAAACATTGTGCATTGAGAGGGGTAAATCTGATGAAATTCAGGGTGTTGCGCAATTTTGGTCTATACTTGTATATATGTATTTAGAAAGGTCTTCGCCTTGTTAGATAATATTGCAAATGTCTATCAAAGTGGGCAAGTATTGCGTCACACACATAAGTATTGATCTACTATAAGTGATGAAATCATCATATATATGTAGATATATATATCTTCATACTAGGTGCATATTCTTGTCGCGGATACGTANGATACGTAGTAAACCAAATTCACCTCCTATTAAGGTGTTCACTCAAAGCCTTGTTACTCTCGGGAACTGTAATCCAAACAAATGTGAGCTTTGTCGGTCCATTCGTAGACCGTGGTTGGGCTTGACAACAGCTGACTCATGTGCCCACAATAGCGGTTTTGCTTCATACGCATAAATGCATCACTCATAAGTCCCATCATCACAAACGACAAATCATTCATGCAGCGTAATCTCAACCAACCTCGTTCGCCTCGTTCACCGCTGACCACTAAGCCATGAATCACGTTTACCCAGTCTGCACTTCTCCTTTTCCAAACTTTGTCCCTACTCTTAAACATAAAACCAAGAAGCAGGTTTAAGAATGATTATGGACCCCTTGTTGGGGGTTGTATTTCCTTGTAGAAATGTACTACTGACCATCCTGGACAAGAATGTGTTCNAATGTGTTCGGTTACCCTTTGACTAAGCTGTTGCTCAGTTTTTCCGAGCTAGGTGGACAACTTGGTTCAATCGGTGGGATTCGGCTTACTGCGAAAGCGGTTGTTTGATTGGTTCTCAGCCAGCCACAGGAAATCCCTATTCCGGGCTTCCCAGTCTTTTCAACAGTCTGCACATGGGCTCTATCTGATCATTCAACAACACAATGAATCGTGTTTCCCACCAACTAGAAATTTGATTTTAGTCAAAACATGGATGAATGAATAAATATGTTGTAGGATACAATCGAGAAAACTAATTTGATTGAATTAGTTGAGTCCAGTTTTGTTGATCAGTTATTGGCATGTCTAAGGTCAGACAAGAGCGGCTCACGTCCGTCTGACGAGACTAATGCGATCGTGCATTCCCATAACTATGATCAGAGCTTATGTTAGTGTTGGCTTCATTAGAGAGCTTTTTTCGGAGATGCAGTATTATTCACATTTGTTTGTTTACAAAGTTTTCTATTCATTCAACTACGGCCGTGTCATCCTTTTGTGAACTATCTTCATAAATCTCCAAATCCTGAAATTTCTGCAACTCAATGTCCCGCGGGACAACTGGTCTCCGTCTCTTGTGACTTGTTCGTAGAGAATTTGTATCGCGACTGTCAGTGATTTTATCCAATGAGTTCTTCACGCAACTTACAACTTCTTCCAAACTCAGTTTCACAGACTTTCTCCGTTGCTTTCTTTTTGTTCCGTTTTCCGTGTATTCATTTGTGTCAATGCGCAAATCATCCTTAAAAATTTTCTTTTTTTTAATCTAAACTCCAAAGGTATGAAGTAATTCCTGTCGAGATCCTTTTTTTACCTATTCTTCTTCCTGAAAACTGGTGCTTTATGACTTTGGTGCAGTGGGTGCTGGATGAATCCCAGACCGCTGGATTTCGTGGATCATTTCACAAAACCAGAGGCAGAATAAGATCGACTCCCATCCCGCTTTGCACCAGGCTCTTTGATTTCAAAAACGCAAATACTTATCGTTGATACTGAGTAGAGTTGAAGCTTTTTCCCTATCAAAACAAACTACCGAACAGCAGGTCACCCATGTACTTTCGTAACCAACGAACGAAATTTCGATTGTCGAGTGACTCTACCATTTCGGGGTTGTTTCAGATGCCAGACTCGTAACCAGCTGAGTTCTATCCTTAGGTATCATTTTGGAGAGTTGGTATTTCGAAAAGTTTAAAAAGTATTTTAATGCACGGATATGATGAATAACTATGATTTATCATAGTGTTTTCAACTGACTTAAGGGAGTTTATATCGCTGATGACATCCATTCACTTAGTACTGGGTTGTCTTAGTTCCTCTTGGTGATATATCAAAATGTGCGTTGGATAACAACCTGATGCGCTCAAAACTTTCTTCTCTCTGGTCGGCATCATAAATGAGGTCTTCCAGTTTAGCAGACATTGATTGTTTGAACTGATGGTGGACCTTACCGCTTAACCGTAGCCACCTTGTACAACTATCCACTCATTTCATTTCATTTCCTTTAACATCAGTGCCGTGTGTGCTGTTGATTGGCCACGTGAAACGTGTAAAACTGGCCGAAATCCATGTGGCATGGCGTCGTGCGGTCACCATGGCGTTTCCGACACTGACTAATCTCAAACCACAAGTCACAACGACATGGCTGGTACTGAGAGATCGGTAGGTATTTGTTTTGTTATACTGTGTATCACTTCTTGTTTGATTTCCTGCGCATCTCACAATTTCTATTCGTTGACGCATTTCTTTTACTCCAATAAAGAAATCATTTGGCTACAGATTTCTTTTCGGTGAACTAAGTATGCATCTATTTTTAATGAAATAAAGAGTATCTTGTATAGAAAATGTTTTGGTTGATGTGCATAGAGTTTTGAAAGAAATCAGTTGCATTGATTTCCACTGTTCGTTGAGCATTTGATTGCCCATCACAATTAAAGTGGATTATATGTTGTCTTGTGAATGATTTAAAAACGGTTCCACCTTTAAGTTTAGATGATAAATTATAATTTTCGGGTTAGGCAGAGCAGAATGCTACCAGGCGCGTCTCCGGGTTGTGGATAGGGGGATACCTTCAGAGAAGAAGGTTAGCTGTGAATAAGTTGTGGCATACCGCAGCAAATAAGCAGTCGCGAACAAATAGCGGCGGCACTACCAGGGTGTGGTGGGCTTCAGACTGGTAACCTGGCTCCTGTTTAAAAGCCGCATAAGCCCAATGACGCTGTCGTGACAAAGATCAATGTGACTGGCCTTTTAAAACTAAAGTTATTGGCCCCCTCACTTCCGAGGTGAGGGATTACTTCCTGCTGACTTGCAGTTCGCACGTGGTTGTGCAAAGGCTAGAGGTGAGCCCTCAAAATAAAGAAAACGCCGAGTGACGCTGGGGATGTCTCTCGTACCAAACTCTCAAGGAACTCTATGATTATGATCATGTCTGGAGCTGCTTATTCTTTACAAGGAGCCAGCCGCAGTAAAGTAAGTATCGTTTGAACGATATTGTATTTCCCTTGGTTGATAAATCTCCAAACTTCATCTTCACGCACAATATCGAAGGTTTCCAGTCAATCATGCAGGCAGGAAGCCCATGACTAAAGTTTCATTTCCATTGGAGTTTGTCATCTGTGTAATTTCACCAGTCCAAATTTAATTAGAACCTGGAAACTTTCGTTTGAAGAAGCGTTACTACTGTCCCTAACAGTTTTAATCGAGGATTTGAATTTAAACCACCAATCACGTGCTAATTTTCTCCAGTCTAGCTGTTCGCCGATTGATCTGATGTTAACACACACGTGTTCCATGAGAGATCCGTGATTCAGATCCTCCCCTCCTCACCCCGCCCCGCCCCGCCCCGGTGGTGGTGGTGGTGGAGGGGGGGGGCGGCACCGGAGATTCATTGCAGATAAGCTATGACGAGATTGAAGACCACATTGTAACGTAAAATGTTCAAGAACAATGTGGTCACAGTTACATCGGAAACAAAAAATTAATCGTAAAGTGAACCGGACAAAAGAGTACAGAACCGTGTACAATCGGTCTGAGAGAATAAGAATGTTTTGGGGCCGAAGAACACTGGGACCACACCGCATTCATTATACAAACTATATTACTTGGACCTTGATTACACAGCCGATAAATGCCTATATCTGTATCATGGAGAGTTTTGTTTTCAATTGAGATTAAAAATGCGTTTTGGAGTGAAATCTGGTTCCTGATCCACAAAGATAAAAACTCATCCAAAGAGGTTTGATCTATATTATGTTCTTCCTGAACAGCTATAGGGAGAAGGTCGTGGTATACTGGTGATGAGCGTCGTCTTTGTTGTTTCCGTAGTCGAGTGATTTAAGTCTCTTACTTTGGTGATCAATAATCTTTAAGTTCCATAATTCGAACCCTATGACCGCTATTCCGAAGAGGATGTGGATCGCTGTCACCTATTTCAGTGCTATGTCTATTCTCCCTGCACCTCAAGTGGTTTACCACTCAAAGTTTTGGAGTTTTTAATTGACCCAGACGTAATCGATGACATGCTCAAACTGAAATTGAACAAATTACAATAGTCAAGATTAGCGTGCCCCTGGATGAACCCAAGCATACGACCACTGAGTAGCTGATCAGATTTGAGATATCCCGAGTTTGATGGGCAGTTGGGTCGATTGATTCGCACTACTGATTAAACCCAACAAAGTCGAAGAGCCGTAGAGTGCTTTCTACTTTACGCTCACTTTACTCTGTACACGAGGAAAGTCATTACATAATCAAACCAAATCCTATAATAATCTCATGATCATCATTTCTTTGAGTGTTTAAAACGAACACTGAATCTGATGAACTGTTCAATCACAGTTGATTCATCCCATTGTATCCATGTCCAACTCATTATCTTTCTTTTTCGTGTTTATCCCTTTCCCGAAATCCATTTTATCTTTTGTGTGCGTATCAGTACTTCGGTAACAAGTGTAAATCTGCAATGCAAAGCTGGTTCCATAAAAATGGGACCAAGAGCTCTATTAAAGGCGTTGGAATACCTAAAGCTCGATTTATCCGACATACGGTAAGTACTGCATGCATCTACGATTCACATTCCTACTCTACCCTTTTCACGGGATCGAAACTCCTGGTTCTTTACCAGAATAGGCCTACAACTCTCATGCATGTAGTTTCCTCGCCTAGATTGTGCATCATCAGGGCATGAAATGTGTAATAGGATGAGCGGCATTCCATGTTCAAAACTCCCATAGTATGCAGATGCAAATGGCTTCCAGTCGACTCCTATCTGTGTTATATTCATTACATTTTGACAAAAGGTACGCATTATGGCAACACAACCCTACGATTCTCTCTTTACAGCACAAAATAGTGCACTTATTATTTGCTTGTTCAAAGGGAACTGGAGCACTGGACAGGAAATTGATCCCCATGCGAATAGGTATTCGCCGAATGTACCCCGCTACAGTTGTCCTTTCCTTCCTAAACTGATGTTGTATATCAGCCGAGAAACACGCATTTCGGCATCATCAGTTGAATAGCGAACAATTACTCTAAGCCTCTTCCCGCGTGGTGATCATCGGTGCTAGGAACTGACAATTGTCGGTTTCACTTGATGTCTTATGTCCGAGACGCATTTCATCGACGTTTCTTGACTAAATTAGGCTCTTATGCTCTCGGTATACAATCGCCTTTAATGATTTCGGACCTACCATTTGACAAAAGATGAAATACTGGTGCATGTTTCTTCCCCTTTCAGTTTCTCTGATCGACGACGGTCGGGAGGTAGTTAATTCCAATGCAATTCGCTGCATGTTCCGCATCAGACCAGTGGGTCATATTGTGACAACCTATCAGAAAGTTGCTCATGTGACTCTGATGGAGAATACAACCAAATTGCATCCAATCACATGATCCATGGCTTGTACTATGATTTTATGCTTACTCCCTCAAATTGGTCTCTCATAATTGAAATAAGAAATTTCTTCCTAATGACATAATCATTTTTACCAATCAGATTTCAACCAATGAAGACCTAGACGCCACACACAGTACTTCTCATTAATCTCGGTTGGTATTCCTTCACCTGTGGTGTGAATTCAACAGAACCAAAGCCCTGTCAAGTCGACTTTGGCTCAGAAATTTTCGGGGTAAAAATGTGACAAATAATTTATCAGTTGCGAAAGTAATCGATCACGTTTGAGATTAATCCCGGCGAGTTATCACGTGCTGACATCCAATCCGAATGCAACAGTCGTGAGAGAATGTTAGTAAGAAGTCCAATTTAAATATTGCTCATTTACAACGGGCTTTACAAGCGTTGTACTAAACCAGAATACTTCTCATTGTACTACTGTGGTAACCATGAAATTCCAGTATCAAATCATTCTACTAGTTCCAATTTGATCAAAACAGAATGGAAAGTGACTGAACTGACGTCACGTTTTGCATTCCACAATGCCTACCACCACGAGTTCGTTTTCCAATTACTAATGACGTCTTTTGGCAACTAATCTAGGTGATCAGCGATTATATTCTTATAAACCAATGAGACTGAGAATGCTACCAGGACAAAAGTATGAAACCAGGCAGTTCGGTCGGAGTAAGCAGTGTATAAATGGTTGTAAACATCGCTCATGATTGTTTGTAAGCACCTGTTTGCTTTCTTACTAGTGAAGTTGAGTGGAGAAAATAAAATGTAGTCGGGCTTGTGAAAGAGCACGGTCCATGTTTAAAGGTCAAAATCACCCCCAGAAACTTTCAGTCCAATCGACTTCAGTTCAGTACCAAGAAGCACGATGAGATTGCTCAGCGAAACGATGGAGTCTTTCGCGGGGAAAGCTAGTATGCGACAGAAAAAAATTTGTGGTCAATGCACAGGAGACTACCGTAACCATTTCGGTGGGATGGGATGGAATATCGACCGTTTCAATTTATCCGGGGATCGAAGCTGAGCGCTAAATCCACCGATCCAATGTTGTACTATCCAATGATCAAGTATGATACAATGATTAAGACAAACCTATATATATATATATATATATATATATA